CAGGGGTAAGCTTGAGGTCAGCATTCAGAAGTTAAAATTACAGCTTTTCCGGCATTAGGGGGGGAAATGGGGCTTGGACTTCTAATCTTATGAAGATTCTTATGAACTCTGCCTCTTTCTTAAATCAATGCTGAGCAACATAATCTGCTTACCGAAATGAGGACTCTTTTGTTGCTGTTCTTAAACCCTACCCAAGGAACTATTTGCAGTCCGTTGTTTTGGACGCAGCAAAGCTTTAGGGTTATCTTGTGCTTAGGGTTACGTTTGCTCAGTGGGTGCAGCGAGACCGAGCCTGGCTCTTGGTGCCCCATACCAGCCGAGGGGTGGGGGGGTAGCTCTCCCAACCCTTTCCGCAGGACAATCCCCTCTGTGCAGCCGCTGCTGAGCGGAGCTGGGAGCGTGTGGGAGCCCAGCGGGTGCTGCTCCTGGCACACACCCCTCGGCCTGTTCTGCTTGCACTCTGCAGCCTGGGTCGATGATAATTTGAACGTCTCCATGATGCACTGTGGAAACAGCCTCGGCTGCTCCCTTCAGTTCCCTCACACCTCCTGTTTTTGCTTTCTCCAAATTGGAGCACTGTGTACTCTTTCACAGGAACCACTGTTGTCTGTTACTGTCCCTGTTCTGAGACAGCATTTCCAAGACAGTGATTTCCTGCCTGTTTTACAGCAAATCCACCTGCTGGGAATGACATGGAGTGTTAGTGGGGAGCTTTTTAGGGATAGTAGCCTTTGAGAAGACCATCAGAGGTGCCATATAACCTTGTCAGTGTGATAGGTCCTCTTTTCCTTCACCAGCTGTTTATCAGAGGGAAGTCCTCTCTGGGTTATGCAGCATGTTTTTGCTGGGTAGAGGGCAGGGAGGGAGAGCAGACAGTCTCACTCCATCATCTGTGCAGCACCACAGGGAGAACCTCCTAAAAATGTCATGGGGATATTTTTTGAGGGACCTAGAGGCTGAATCCATGCGGGAGGTCTGCAGTGAGCAAGATTAAGAGGAACAGCACCTTGCTGTCTGAGCAGCTGTGTACTTGCACATGCGGCACAGGAACTTTTTATCCTTCTTGCTTAACCCAAGGAGTCAGTACACAACTTGTGTGTGTGACTTGTGCTGCCTCCTTGGCCTTGCATTTCATAGACTTGAGCCTGGGTGGTTCACACTGATTCTACAAAGCTGATGAAGATTTATGCTGTCCCACAAATGCTTGGCACCTTTCATCTGATGTAGAGCCTGTTGTGTTACTAAGAAATGCCTACTGTAAAAGGAGGGGCTTTCACAGTGACTGTAATGCAAGGTCCTGCTTCCTCCCATCATGACACTTACCATGAAAACTCAGGCTGGGGTGGTATTTTGCATAGGTGTACATATACAAAATTGAGTTTGGGTGGAGAGGTTTTCATATTGCCTTCCAGAGCTTCAGCTTTGTAGCAGGGCAATGAGTTGCAAAGCTTGTGGTGAGCTTATAGTGAATAAATCACATATGGAGGACTGGGGAATAGGAAAAGTGAGCTGGCTGGAAGCAATGAAATCCTTGATTAATGCTGTATGTTTAGCACCCAAGAGGATTGCTGGGTCCTGTCTCAGCTTCAGCTAGATAAAGGCATTGACTTCTAATTAATTTGAATTTTTGTTTTTGAACTCATAGTCCTGGTGTGTGCTGATTGCTGACAATAGCCTTTTGTCAGACAGGGGAGAAGGAACACTCAGCTGCACCTCAGCCAGGAAAACTGTGAATCCACTTTTCTTTTACTGCCATCACTCCTTCCAGCTTGGCTTTACCAACATCTGAAAAATTACTTTTCCTCTCTCTGAATGCATAATTGGTTATTTATACACAAACCGTAGAGCATTTACTTGGTATACTGGACCTAGAAAAAAAGATTAGTCAAGAACTATCCTACCAGATGTGAGTGTCAGTCAACATATGATCTCCATATAATTTATAAGGTATTAAATTACAAAATAATGAATCTTTTCAGTTAGCATTTTGGCACATGATGATAGTATTACATTTTATGTGAGAATATCGACCGCAGCTCTTGCCCCATAAAACTGCAAACAGAAACTTGTAAGCATTGGCACTAGTTTCGTTTAGAAAAAGACACCCATTATGCTCGGATTACAGTTATGTACGTACAGCCTGGAGGTTGTCCAGTCACACGCAGTTCTTTCCCCCCCTCTCTTTTAACATTTCCTTGAGAAGTCCAGACAGTGGTTTCTAGGTTAGATTTATTTTTTTTTTCTCTTCCCTTGGATTTAACTCAAGGAAGGTCTGTGGAGCACAGAGCAGAAGGTCTTCCAGGATTCTTGCAAATGAGACATCCTCTGCTGTCAGATCTGAGGTGCTGGGCCAAATTCTGACCTTGCTCAGCCTACAGAAGCGGAGCAGCCACCATGCATGAGAAAAGCCCTGTCCCACAAAACTCCCAAACCCCATGTAACTCAGGAATTCCATCTTTCTACTTCTTGCTTGCAAGTGGAAGGAAGCAGCTTTAAAGTAAGATTTACAAGCTGACAGTTATATGTTGCCTGTTGAGAGCAAGCTGGTGTGTAAACAAGTTTCTCATTTCTCTCTGTAAAACTGAAATAAATAAGGGGTTCTACCTCAGAAGAGCACTTACTCATGTACCATATATTTTTCTTACAAATAGGAAGATGGTTTTAAATGCACCCTCAGCTTTTTTGGTGAATCCGTCCTGCCCTCAGTCGTTCTCTCTCCCACCCCTAAAAATAGAGCTCTTGTCTCATTAAGTACAATTTTTACTAACCAGTTAATAGTGGAAGGGGGGGTGCCCTGCCTCTTTCACACAGCTTAGGATGTGTCAGAGGTGTAGATGGTTTCACAACCCCCTCTTCTTCACTTGACAGTGCTGCGGTGTGAGGGACGGTATGCTGCGTGTGGAAAACCCTGGCTGCATCGAAGCCTGTAAAATCCTACTTGCCTTACTGTGCATTTTGATCTGAAGTTATGGAAACAGCTTCTCCAAAATACATACATTTTATGGCAAGTGTTGAAACAGGCACATCAGCCAAAGGAAATATGAATTTTTAAAGGCCCTCTAAACAGTTTGGTTTGGGCCTGCATGGGAAGGAAAGGGGCATGGCACTGGCGTTCACTTTGTGTATGGTTAAATGGCAAGTACTGATGCTTCTTAAACACAGCTCATTGCTTATGTTTGAGGTAAACTTTGCCCGGCTGCTGACAAATTTGCTGTAATTGGCTGTACCCTTGTCCTACCACACCTACCTCCTTCCACCAAGGAGTTTGAATGATCTGTCCCTGTTTTCATGTTTTGTTTCTGCTCCAAAATGGCGTTTTCTGAGGGTTTAATATACAGCAAAAATCTCCTAAGTCAGTCTCGTGTGTAAGTTTCTAGTAAGTGTAGCTGTAACTTAAAGCTGAGATACAGCAGTTTGGCTGCTCTCATACTCCCTCCATATGAGTCGACCATATACTTTTTTTGCAGTAAGAGCCAAAAGCCAAGGGCACTAGATAAGCAACAGTAATTTTAGGGCTAAAATAGAATGATCTCTGGGGTCTGTCTTGGCTTTGGTAAGCAACTGACTTTTTTATTCAAAGTGAATGTAGTGCTAAATAAATATTCCCTTCAAAGCATTAACATTTTTTGTAACTGAATTCTTTTCACACTTTAAAAACCTCTGATTGCTTTAAGTAGTAATCACATTTGATATGTTGCTCTCAGTATCTCATGAGGCTTGATCTGAGAGACTTAAGATAAATAGTTGAGTGGAAAATGTCTGTTCAATTAATATTTTGTCTGTCTTTTTTTTGGCAACGTAGTCCTAGAAGTAGCTTTATGCTGTATACTGTGGAAAATGTAGATTGCTGATCTAACAAGTCCTAACTTCATACTTTTTCAAGTTAAATTATTCTTCTCATTTGTGTGTCTTACACTGCAGAATGAAAATCCCTGTTAAGGTCAGTATAGCTTCAAATATGAAACAATGGTTGGAGAAATGAACTATCTAGTAAAATGCAACAACATACAGATAGTTAACTTCCTGTATATTTCTATAATCTGGATCTATAAAAGGAAATGCAGGATGTGTAATTAATAAATTAATCGAAAAACAAGAAAGCATTGCTGTGACTGAGAAAAGAGTGTGACTAACTTGTTTTAGTCTTCTTTTGAAGTTACTCTGAGACCCTCTAGTTTAATTAGTTGACTGTATAGTGAAAACCAGCAAGCAATCACTTAGAAGATCTTCTCTTAATTGGATGCTCTGACACCAATTGTCTGTATCCAAACAAGCTCTTCAGTAAGGTCAGCACTCCGTGGTTCTTCAGCCCTTCAGCTGCGCTCAATTTCCATATAGAGATTTGCCCTTGCAAGAACTCTGAGGTTTCAGGCTCTTTCAGCTGACTTTATGGTCTAACCCTTACCAGAGAGAGTCACATACAATCTCCTGGGACATAAAAGCCCAGATGGAACAGAGCAGTAATGAGCTCTTTACTTCTCCCCTAGAGGTCACATTTAAAATAAATTAGAAGACAGCTTAATCTAACAAAAATTAAACTTCTTATTTCAAAACTGCATTATTAATTATTTTCTCTTATTTTTTCCTCTTCTATCACCAAGCAACTGTTTTGCCTACTTTCAAAGCAATTATTTACACTTTAAACCTCTCCAGACAATAAATTCAGCATGCCTGTACCTAGTAAAACCAGGATGCATACTCTTGCAGTGAAATAAGGAAAAGCTGAAAGCTTTTATTATGCCTCTTTAAGCAAACATACATATTGTGTGAAGTTATTGAGTTAACATATGATGATGCATCTCCAGAAGGCGTGAAATATTGGCAGATATCTCTAAGAAAATTAAACTTTCTGTTTCCCAACTCATCCCAAGTCAACTGCTGGGGAAAAAAATGCCAAATATTGGCATCTTCTGATTAAAAGATCTGTTCTGTTCTCTCCTTAACTGGCACATATGCTGTTACCTATCCATAATCTCCAAAGGAAGATCCATTGGGATTTTTATATTTCATATTTGCCTGGTACATCTGATGGGACCATCCCAGTATAAGGATTTGTCTACCTGCATAGTTATCCCCCAGCAACTTTTCTTCATTAACACCATGTGTGAACCCACGTATTCTGAAACAAGTATTTCACACATGGTGTTAATCAAAAGTTAATGGGGGATAACTCCATGTGTAAACATCTTGCTAGAAACGCGATTCAGATGTTGGGTCTCCTCCATTCGTAATAGCCTGGTCACTTATTTCATCCTGTGGCGCTGGTAGCGCAGTCTTTGTTAGAGGTGTCTCAGTCTTGAAAAGAGAATCCATTTTTATCTGGGGTTTTATGTTGAAAGACTTCTGGAAGGATTCTGATGTAAAGTAATAGATGAACGGGTCAAAGCAGCAGTTCATTGTTGCAATGCACAACGTGATAGGGTACATTGTCCTTGCAAACCTCTCCAAGGAGCAATTTGCTATCGCTTGGGACCGCACAAGAGCATACAAGAAGAGTATGGAGTTGTAAGGCACAAAGCACACAACAAAAATGGCCACATGCACAATGATCATTTTCAATACTTTCTCTTTGTTTGTCCCAATCTGAGACAAGGTGGCGGGTTTCCGGAGAGTCCTGAGAACTAAAGAAGAGCATGTAAGGTTGAGTAGCAAAGGAATTATGAATCCCACCACTTCAATAAATATAGTGATCTTAGACAGATAGGTTTTCCAGATACGTTTGGAAAAACCTTCGAAACAGGTTGTGCTGGTGTTGGAAATGTTGGTTGTGGAGAACAGTGAAGCTGAAATTCCACCGCTGAGGACCAGTATCCAAACACCAGCACAGACTATGGCAGAATTTCTCCTGGTCCTAATGGTGCGAGATCGAAATGGATAGACGATGGCAAGGAAACGGTCAACACTAATGCAGGTGAGGAACAGCATGCTCCCATAGATGTTAGTGAGGAATGCTGTACCAGAAATCTTGCACAGGCTGTCTCCAAAAGGCCAATGCCTATTGAAATTATAAAAAATTTTAAAAGGCAAAGTGAACACAAAAAGCAAATCTGAAACAGCCAGATTTGTCATGAAAATGGCGGTTTCGCTTCGCATCTTCATCCGAAAGCAGAAAACAAAGAGGGAGGCACAGTTGGTAATCAAACCAAGGATGAAGACCACGCTGTACACAGCTCCATACAAGTTGTACTTAAAGGAATCATCTGTCAAACAGGTATGATTGTTGCTGTGGTTTCCCATGCCAAGTTTGTGATGTGCTTCCAAAGAACTTCAAAGTCTACTTCAGTGGCATCCATAAAATAAGGCAGTGATCTCTTCTCTTCCTGAAGAAACACATTCCAGGAAGGTTCCTTGACACCTTGCTACCACATCTCCCTCACGAATCCTTTCATCCTAAAGGAGAGAGAAAATAGATGCCATCAGTCTTGCAACCTGCTATCACCTGAGGTGGCTATGCAAGAAAAGACGTACTCTTTCCTTTCCAAATGAACGGATGCTCAAACAAGACCAGTAACTAGTTTTCAAGGTAGTCTTTATAAAATCTGGTATTATTGAGATTTTTCAAAGTTGAACACAGCAGCTACTGTACTCAGCCTTTCCTTGCCCCGTCACTCCCTTGGCCTCCTATTGGAAGGAGAGCAATCACCAATTCCAACTTTCCGCTTGGAAAGGTTTTTCTTTAAAATTTGAGATGGAATTTGCCCAGTGTGCTTGGAAAGAAATTAAATCATGGACCTACAATATTGCCCAGTTATAGAATTAAACAGTCTGAAATACTCACCTAAACTTGTAATGAGAGGAGAAGGAAGCTGAGAGTTTTAGTGTTTGTTTTTAACTGTGCGGAAATGAACGTTCTATGGTTTTTCAACCTTTTTTTGATGCAAAATTATTAAAAAACCCCCAAACTTGAAGTACTGCTTTACCTTTTTTCTACTTGAAAACAGGAGCATTTTTTCAAAGTGAAAAACTGAAATGTTATGTTTCAGAAACGTTTTTCAAAAATCGTTTCCAAAGTTATGCTTGCCGCTTTTGGAAAATGTTGCTATTTTTCTTTAAAATCTTTTGCAAAAGTAGTATTAGTCTCAAAATGACTTGTTTTGCAAGTGTAAAACGCTTTTTGAAAAGGAATTCTCTAAGCTGCACTGACAGCTTCATTTCATTCCTACTCTTTGTCAAGGTTCAGAACCTGAAATTTGGGAAATCTCAAACTACCCTCTTTTAAGATTTTGTCCCAATTCAGCAAGCTTTAGAGAAGTGCAGTGTTGAAGTAAGCATGCTGTTTGTTGGAAATAAGTGCTTTCTGAACTATCTTGATGTTCTCTTATTGCTATTCTAAGTATTGTTTTTAAGGCCTGCGAGGATAAGCAGTTGGAAAGTCTCCTACATTGGAGCGAGGAAGGTTTGTGGGTTGGAACGTGGGCACGGCAGTCGGCACATCTGGGAAATGCGAAGCAAAGTTGAGTAACTAAGGGAAAGACCTTTGCCTAGTAAACTACAGCAAAACAGATATGAAAGTTTGTAATCTTCTTGTAATCTAAGAAACATCTTAGTAGCTACAACAGTGGAGTAATTCAGAGAGATGAAACCCTTGTGAAGAGTAGGATCCTTTCCAGAAAGTGATCCTCTGACAACGTAGTTTCAACAGCAAACACGTAACCGAGTTGTGTTAAAGGTTGAAATGGCAACATATGAACAAACTGGGGGAGAAAGCATGGAATCGGGACAACTTGGGTTGCAAACTGATTAAAATCAAATGTTTTCAATGTGTTTTCCTACTGGAAAAGCTCATGCTGACAATAGTTCTTGCACACAGACTGTCAAGGAGTCAGCTGGTAAAAAGCCAAGTATTGAGAAAGGTGTAATACCACGGCTTTGCCAGATGGAAGGTACAAATTTTGCCCTCAGCTGGTAGTGCCTGGACAACTGCAGGCTTTACAAAAACCAGCGCTGTGACCCAGAGAGCAAGGCAGCATCTTGCCTTTGCACCTTAGAGATTAGCTGGATGTAAAGCAAAATAGCCGGAAGGGAGGATCCCCAGACCTCACTTTGTGGAAAGATGGCTTTCAAATGACTTAAACCTTTTGACATCCAAAAAGATGACTTGGAACTATCGGGTGTCTCTGCTCGGGGAGAGTTTGTGCTCTCTGCAGGCTGGGGCAGTGTCCGGACCGGGATGGTGACATGGTGCTTTGTGCTGTCCCGGCTGTGTTTGCTGTGCATGCCTTGAACAACCAGAATTACCTGTGATTTTCGTAGGCAGCTTTGGTACACTTTCTTCACCCAATTTAGTAAATTCTTCCTTCGTTTTAGTCACATTGTGAGTTACGCATTTGCAATGATACCCTGCATCAGCATATATTCAAACCAAAAGCAGGCATGCCTTTGTCTGATTGCTGTTGATTGTGTGGCAACAGCAGAAGAGATGGATCCCATGTTGGGGCTTTCTCTACATCACACGTAAGCACTTAGTTATGGAAACTATACTGGGCTTTGGGGACAGACAGGCAGAGGAAGGAATGGGCTGTGTTGGGGAGCAAAATGTTCCTTGCACCCCTTTGTGCTTTTGCACTCATCTTTTTCCTACTAAATTCGTGGATAAATGGACTTTATTGTGAAATGACCTAAAAAAGATACAAAACATTTAAACTTACAAAAAGGACGGCAGTAAAATATCAGAGATGCGCTTTCTTTGAATACGTGGCAAATCTAAATAAGTGAAGGTCTCACCTACAAGTTGAAATGCCTTTAAGCAAGAACTTATTCAAAAGCACATGTTAGCTCCAACAGGAATAACTGTGCCTCTTAGCTTAACCCTCAGCCTAATGCATTAAATTCTTGGCTTGTAACTCCCTTTCAGTTAAGAAAGAGTCTGCATGTTATCTTCATCAGGAGTAATTTTTGTTTGTGCTGAAACATAACCTCCATAAGTAGATCCTTTTCTTCTGCAGTGTGCAAAAACCAGGTGTGCCAGACTCTTCTGGTCCAGGCTTCATGTCTGGGCCCTAATTGAGGAGGTTTGAGAGGGATTGGGTGTCCTTCACAACCTTACATAGCCATGTGCTTGGGAGGTCAATGGAAACACCACTTTCCAATCTGTGCACAGTCCGGGATTTTGGCTGTTCCTCAAAACACAGCCTGACACAGCAGGTTTGAAAGGCGGCTTTGAAATGCCTACCTTTACTACTGACAGAAGTGGTTGCTGCCAGCAGTCTGACCCAGATACTTGTTACACAGGAGAAAAGATGCTCGATCACTTGATTCTTTTTTCCCTGCTCTGCATCAGACAGCCACAAGTCAAATACCAGTTTTTCTGGTGTATAAGTCTGCAGGAATTGTCTGCCAGCAATTGTCTAGCTACGTTATGGTTTTTAAAATACAGGCCTGTGCTGTTTACCTGTCTGACACTGAGGTGTTTAAACAAGCTGACAAGTTGCTTTGAAACTCAACCATACGCTTTAATTCTGCAGCACAAGTCCACAGATTTAGTTTTCTGAATGTAGAATTCACTTTCCTTCCTTTTCACTAAGGATTAAAACAGTAGGATGCCCTTCTTCATGTATACTACGTTCACCACTGCTGTTGCCTTGCTGGGGAAAAAAAAACAAACAAACAACCTAGCAATGTGTTTTTAAATGCTGAGTTAAGTGAATATAAAGAAAACCACTTTACTGTTTGGTATTTCAGGCAGGCTAAAACTTTAAAGCCTGTATCTAAAATGGGGAGCGGTACATGAGGAGAGGAATGTAGCTGTTGTCAGACAGGTGTGGTACCATAACAGCCTATTTAGTGTGGTAATACTGAGAATATTCTCTCTTGTAGCGAGGATGGTACAAGCAAACCTAGAGCAACTGTTGCTTACTTACATAACCCT